TAGGGGGTTTTTTCTTTCTTTCTTTTTTTTCTTCTCGTGAAAGATCAAAGTGCCCTTGGGACGATGGGTCTGGCGCCATCGGCACGACATCACCGTCGACATTTTCTCTCGGGCGTTTTCTTCTTGTTGCAGCACACGCTCTATTCTACCTAGGAGAGGAGCAAAAGAGGAGAACTCCCTCTTTCCTCTCTCCAGTGCGTGCCCAGGAGCGCCATCGGCAGCTGTTCGTCGAGGACCACCTCCTATGCAGTGATCGATCCGTGCAGAATTGCACCCTCTCCACAACGCCATCCGTGTCTGTATGTACGGTATGCGGTATCCGCGCGCTTCCTCGCCGACTTTCTCTCTCCCCTCACTCCCGTGCGTGTCTTATCGACAGACCACTGCCTCCATGCACCACTATCCCGGCCCGGATCAGACCTCGGCCACGACACCACCCACGGCGGAAGAAGGTGTCTGGTCAACTCGGGAGGATACCCAGCCAGCCAATCCTCTATTCTCAGGAAGGACCACATCGAGAGAGAGAGAGAGACACGATGAAAGAAAGCGCCGAAGCCTCCTGAAAACGAGACCTGTCTCGTCTACCGTATATCTAGCGCCCTTCGTCCGTCTGAGAATGGTGAGCTAGCTAGGTACCGGTACCGGTACAGTACGGTACGGTAGCTGTTCAGCTCCCTTCCCACCCTCTCTTACCCCTCCTTCCTCCTTCCTCCTGCCTCCCTCCCCCGCCAACCCCCCCCCCCCCCCCTCCCCCCACCTCTCCCTCCTCGCCACTTAGACTTTGCGCCGACATTCCTAGTGAACATCATCGAAAGCCAATAAGTCAAAACGGCACAGAGTTAGGACGGCCCAAAGATGTTATGTCACCTCCTCGTATCTTTTGGGTACCTACCTACCTACCTACCTATTCGTATTCCGCCAAGTCGAGAATGGTGGGTTCTGCGACGATGCTCCGCAGCGTAAACCAGTACACCCGTAGGGCACACGCGTCCGAAACTATCGGAGGTGATCGAGGGCCCATACGTGCAGCAGGGGAGAGTCTACAGAGTTGACGGTGTGAATACCGGTACCGACAGACAGATAGACAGACAGCCGATGGGATAGGCTGGATAACCACACGCTCGAAAAGTCAGGGGTAGGGGGGAGGGGAGCTGCAGTGAAGGTTTTTTCGGGGGGCGGTAACCACCTGCTGAAGGTGTACGGTACTTCTACTACGTAGCTGCTGGGTCCGGCTGCGACGGCGTGGAGAAAGCTAGTATAGTACCGGTAGTACCTACCAACGTATGGCGAGGCACACCGCTCTGATAGTCCTAGTGTACCGGTGCCGGTACTACTGTAGGTACTAGGACAGGACTTGTACCGGGAGTCGTACCTACCTACCTACCAGTCGTAGCATGTAAATCGTTGGGTAGAACGATAGCAAGGACCGGGAGAGAGCTTCGTGTACGGGGGGGATTGTAGCAACTCCATACCACACTCGTTAATCTGAAGAGGTTCGCATATCAAGCTCGGCTCTTGGGGTGTTACAGTAGGTAGGTATGATAGTATAGTATAGGACAAGTACCGGTACTACGTAAGGTACTACTTGTACTACGGTACTACGTCCCCTCACCCTCCGCCAGACGTCTCACGCGACAGCCATATCCCTTCCGGTGGAAAGAAAGACTTGGACGGTACCTCCTGGACGGGACGGGACGGGACTGGACGGGACTGGGAGGGTTAAGGATAGACATCGTGGCCCGTGCGGCATTGGCACCGCCACTACGACAACCACACGAGATCTCTGCGGTACGCGGTACCGTACTCGGTAGAATCGCTTCCTCTCCTGACACCTGAACAGTACCAGTCGTAGACTTACCCACGCCAACGAGTATGACGGCATCGAATTCGTCCCGGCTCTTAGCGTGTGCGCCATTCCTCGGTGGATAGCAGCACTTCCACCGAAAGAGCCTCGAGAGCAACATCAAATCATACCTACTACTGTACTACTGTACGACTAGGTACCTAGGTATCCCGCAGCCAAGAGCGACCCATACGTATCGCGCCAGCGGTTTTGGATACAGTAAGGAAGTTTAGGGCGGGAACAAGCAGATGAATAAATTAAAAGCGATCGAGGAAAAGGGGGCTGCAGATGACCATCACTTCCATGCGGGACCGGGTCGGGGGGGGGGGGTTCCATAGCCGAGTAAGAGGACCTGGCCCGAGTGGGCCGTATAAGAAGTATATATACCACATGCACTTCCCCCATTCTGCCTTGCTCCGACAGACCAAGATATTTGCAAATCACTACCGTGTTAACCATTCCCCACCATGAGATTCTCCCTCGCCGCTCTTGTCGCCTTCTCGGCTTTGGCCACCGCCATCCCCCTCGCCAGTCCGTAAGTGTCCCTCCCCCGACCCAACGTGAGAAGGGTGCGGTCGCCCTTGCGAGCGAGAGACCTGGGTGGTGGAGGCGAACCCAAGCTAACAACGCGGGTTCAGCGGCAGCGCCGCGTCCCTGGAGGAGAAGCGCCAGGCCACCGGGTTCTGCGCTCCCGCCTGGCTCTGCGGGACCTCCGAGAAGAAGCGCGCGGAGGTCCCCAAAGTTCGATCCGTGGAGGAGAAGCGCCAAGCGCCAAGTAACATCTGTCCTCCCGGATGGAACTGCTAACTAACTCCGCGGCGAAGCGCTCTGAGGTCCCCCGAAGCTGGATCCGTAGACGAGAAGCGCTACAGCGGAGCCTTTCGTCGCCCTGCGGAGCGAGCGGGTGATCCTGGCCGCGGCAAAAACGGTGGCGGGCAGTGGGAAATCGTGGTGGCCGACTCGCTGGATCTACGCACGGGGTTCTGGGATGAGATGGCAGCGATGGTCGCGATGGAGATGCTAGCGCTTCGAGTCAACCCGGAGGGTCGATGCAACTTTTGTTTTATGTTGGACTGGCTATTCAACCTAGTCAAGGAAGGGACGAGTCTTGTAAACCCAATTCAGTTGCTGACTGCCGGCACAGTTTCAGGCGTCAGATATCTTCCCTCATGCCAAGTTCCATGTGATCCGAAGACAGTCGTGACCGTCTCCAGTGGCAGGATGAGACTAAAAGCATGATGTCAACCCTCGGAAACTGAATGCGCGGGAACCAAGAAAAAGAAGAAAAAAGATATATTAATCGCAAAGTGACTCTTATACATGCCTCCCATGCTCGTCCACCACCTAATTCCCATCTTCACCGTGATAACGCCAACATGGTTCCATCGAGCTGAATCAATCGTACCCATTTCGATGGCGACGACCTCGGCCTCTCCCCTTACTCTTCAGCCTTTTCAGTTACACCCTTCCGCACTGTCGTCACTTCCTCTGCCATTCGCCGCCTCCTCGAGCTTCTCGACCGGCACAACAAGGCCCGGCTCGTGTTCCATCGCGAACCGCGTCACACGAATCAAGCGCTTCTTACGCCTCTGCGGAAGAGATGTCAGACAGAGGGGGAGATCCAGCCTGTTGTCGTCGGCGAGAGGCGTCATCGCGTGCGTGAGAGCGCTCGCTAAGGAGAAAGAGTGGCCGTGTTGAGGTGTGCGGAAGGCGGGAAGGTAAAGGTGGGAATGAATATCTTTACTGTTGGTACAGTGAAGACTGGATTTGCTGACAGGTAGGTCACTCGGGGCGTTGATCGCCTGTGTAGCCTTGCCGTACTCCTTTCGTACGGAGTTTCTACGTATGCAATAATTAGCCTTGGCGACTCGGTATATTGAGACTCTTTTCCTTCCTTACCTGTACCTTTTCTTTCTTTCTCTCTCTCTCTCTCTCTCTCTCTCTCGCTTCCTTCCTTCCTTCCTTCCTTCCTTCCCTCCTTCATTCCTTCTTTCTTTCCTTCAACCTCCTCCCTTCTAGCTCTTCGGTGCTGGTGCTGCCATAAGGGGCGAACGCCACCAATCCAACCACCACCGTCGCCAGTCATCAGTTCTTCCCTTGCATCGCTTCTAAAATACGTATCATTTCAAGCTTTTGGCTCAGACTAAGCTCTTCCGGGGGCGGTCCAGGATCTTCGCCCGCAATCTTCCAGCTCGTCCAATCCACAGTTTCGCTCGAATATGCCTCCAGCTCCGCCTGTGTCTGCCAGCATTCAGCCGAGAAATCCAACTCGTCGCTGTTGATCATCTCAGTTGGAATGACCATCTGCAGCTTCGGAAGGGGTACGATATACGAAAAGCGCAATGCTTTCTCCGGGTCTGGCATCAGAGTTCCGATATACTCCAGGATCGCGTCTTCGTCGTCCCACAAGTGCTTTGGCCGGCCGCCGTCCCCAGGGGTGGTTTTCGGGACCCAGACTTTGCCGACCTCTTCCATCTTGTCGTCGTCCGCTTCGATCACGCAGTACCACTCATCACCAACGCCATCCCAGTTACCGGGCTTGTTCACTGTTCAGATTATCAACCCCGCGCTGTAGATAACGATCTGTATTAGATGTAGATCGACTGACCTGTGTAGAACCCATTTCCCAGCTGTCTTTTAAAGTTTCTGTCGCGTCGTTCGTCGTATATTTTGTCTCTGTGAGGCTTGTGATGTTCATTGATATACGCGGCTTCCTCCTATCATTCGCGTGGTTAATATAGGCTGGTGCGACCGCTGTAAACCCAGTGGAGACTTACCTTGGCAACAGTCCGATAGGCGATAACTTTCTTTCCGTGAGCTCTATCCAAGAGGACGCCCAAGGCTAGCAAGACCGAGCAGACAGATTGCGATGAGAGCATTATTTTAGAAATACGAGTGTTGCACGCTTGTGAGTCTTTCCAAAGTGCGCGCTGACGAGAAGGAATGAGCTTGCAAAAGGAAGAAGACACTAGAGAAGGGGACGGTAAAGAAAGCCGACGGTAAAGAAGGGGACGGGATTAAAATCTGACGACGGTGCACAAAAGGGACCTACCTATATCTGCTCTCTCTGACTATACCTACCGTATACCTATACCTATACCTAGGCGCTCAAGTCACCACTAAGATTAGTAGCCCCAAGACTTCTGCGCTTGATCCATGAGGGGGGAGGTACCGGTAGGTAGGTAGGTACCTAGGTAGGTACACCGTACGTAGTAAGTAAGTATTCTTAGGTACCTACTACTAGGTATACCGACGATCATCCCAACTACTTATCGACGATCGTCCTATATATTGAAGATCAATCCTAAATATACTACCGGTACGTACAGTAAAAGATCCGACTCAATTCACGCCTCGCTCGCTATTTATAGGGTGGCCAGAGATGCTGGATCGGGCTGTCGGTCGCTACCTAGGTACCTACTTAATCGCGATTAGCTTGAATTTGAAATTGCGAAAAAAAAAAAAAGAAGAACAAGAAAAAAAATATATATTTCCGACCCGGGACGCCCAGCCTGCCAGCCAAGCCAGCCCACCTTTGCCTTGTATAGGATCGATATAGGATCGATATAGAATTATTATACAGGAGAATCGATATAGGATCAACACACCGATCACATCGTATTTGTTTCTGCACTCATCTCGCTCGTGCATAACTAGTACGAATCTAATCGTATGTTATTTTCGTATTGTTGAGCTGGGTTACAGTACTACGTAGTGGGTAGAGCAGGTGCTTTTGATGTCCGTTTAAATGTGTTGCAGGTCGGTGCATTCATTCATTCATTCATTCATTCATTGGCTAAGCGAGAGCCAAGCGAGCGCCAGAGCTCTCCAAAACGGCTCTTGGAATCGAAATCCGGAGACGGTGAGAAGGGAAGTGCAGAAGGAAGCGATGATATGAATCAAGTGGCGAGGGACGGTTGCGATAGGTTACGATGATGATTGATTGATTCTGGTCCTGATTCTGGTCCTGGTACTACTTGGCTTGTGCGTTCGTGTCAGAAGGTGCCGTGGAACGGCTTGTTCGGCTGCTGATCGAGAGTGATCTTCCCAACTTCCATCCATCGTCGGCTCGCTTAGGTGGGGGGGGGGCCTCCTTTCATCCTTTCAGACGATTTCAAGTCACCAATCTTTACAGACCTGAGTATTATATTTTCTTGAATTACCGCTTGCGAAAAAAAAGGGTTTACACTCACGTGATTTTTATGGTTTCCCTTTTAAAAGAGCTTCTTTTCAAGCTGAGATTTGAAGTTTGGGTAATATTTCTGCAGAGCGGGGCTCCTTCTAAGCCTGCTGAGGTACCTATAGCAAGAGGTTCAGCAACGGCTATTACTTCGATGCGGGAGCTCATGAGTTCCAGTATCCAAGTCATGGCCATGACGGCGATTTAGTACGTGATCTTGGCGTTTTCCAGCACTGGACTGGCACTGGAAAGTCTAATTCCCATCATCGAATTAATGAAGAGTAATGGACTTTGATAAACTTTAATGGAACGTGATGGACCGTAGTAGTTCGGCCGCCTAAGACAAGCAGTGATGAACTGGTCCAGGATAGTACAACACCAGGTGAGGTCAGGTTTTGCTACTTACGATGGTACCGGTATCAGGTAGGACAAGAAAGAGCGTGACAGCCATCTACCTATCCATCCTTATCGCTCCGCACGCCGCTCGGACATTATTCCAATGCTATCATCGCGCATGACCTCCAGGTTCCAAGACCGAAACCTACCTGATCTTACATACTACCGGTACGTACGTACAGTACAATACAGCCCGCCTGCTTGCTAGCTCATTCCGAGGTTGCTTGCCGTCTTGTGCCAACGAACGAGGACCGAACGGCATCATCACGACGGCTGCCCATTAAAACTGCCACTTGGACTTGTATTTCAGTCCCACTCGAATCTCCCATCTACACTTGCCTGTGAGAACGAACGCGGAAGACAGCCAGAGCCAGCTAGCTATCCAAGCCCCAAAGGCAACTACAACCAACCGCATTCGAGGAAGCGATACACGAGAAGAGGAGAGAGAAGATGGGTCTCTCATACAACGTCTACCTGAACAGCCACAAGATCTACGGCTGCAAGAACTGCAAAGCCCACCTCTCCAACCACGAGGACATTATCAGCCGCGTACGTTTCGTTATTCGTCTCCGTCCCCGTCCCCGTTCCCGTCCCCGTCCTCTGTCTCCGTCTCTCTCTCTCCTCTCTCTCTCCTCTGCCCTCCTTCCTCTACAGTGGGCGTCCGTCGTCCTAACCGCAGGCAGAACTTCCGCGGCCAACACGGCAAAGCCTACCTCTTCAACAACGTCGTCAACGTCGTCGCGGGCGAGGCCTCGGAGCGCAACATGACGACCGGCCGCCACATCGTGCGCGACATCTCGTGCCGCCAGTGCAACGAGACGGTCGGCTGGAAGTACGACAAGGCGTACGAGGCGAGCGAGAAGTACAAGGAGGGCAAGTTCATCCTGGAAGCGGAGCTGCTCTGCAACGTTACCTAGACCGGCTCGGTGCTGGCTCCGAGCCCATTCCATCCAGAGCGAGGGGAGGGCGAAAGGACACCAGGGAGGAAAGGAGGCGTGAGATTGGCTTTGCATTCGGCGTGGAGTTTCAGGAGGGATCTTAAGGGACCGGACCGGAGCCGGAGGGATGGATAAATACACGGCAGGGATGGACAGGCTTGTTGGTGGGTGGGTAGGTAATCATCGAGGTGTTCTAACGGACTTATGAATGGGACGGGGCGGGACAGGAATGGGATGGGATGGGCTCTTTAGAATTAGTAGTACGGGATCTGGTTGATACAGAAATATTGATTGAATGATCAAATGGGATTCCTCAACCCTCATCCGTTCTGCGGTTACTGTTCAGTGCTGGCGGCATACCGATGACATATGCTTGGAGGTTGGTCCGGTCCTTGTACTCTTCACCCTCGTCACCAAATCACCAAACACTCCAACGTCACCAGGAAACAGATATCATTCAAGAAGAAGATTCAAACCCATATCGAAATCCGCCCCCCCCCACATGTCCAGATCCAACCTGTCTGTTATATCAAGCCCCGGGCGATGTACGGAGTAAACGTGATCATCCCGACCGAGGAGTGAAAGTACGGTTCCCCCTCCCCCTCCCCCATCCCCTCTCTTGCAGATACCGGTACCTAAGGTAGGTAGGTAGATGATCCCCTCACCCACCCCAGTGACCAAAATGGAGCCCAAACCCCCCCCCCTCCCCCCCCCCTCCCCCCCCCCCAGTCTCCTCCTCATCTCCCTCTCCTCGCTCTACCCTGTACTCCCATTGTAGGCAGCTCTAAACACCGTACGAAGGCGCATCACCAGCAAGTCGAGTTGAGAACCTACCGTAGCTAGATACCTACCTACCTATCTATCTAGGTATCTACCATTCATCTATCTGTCCAGGCCGCATCCTTCTGGGTATCTGACGCTAGCTGGCTGGCTGGCTGGCTGCCTATAGGTACTTATCTGCTCTAATCCGACTCAATGATCATCCATCGATCAAGCAAGAAAGCAACCAATCAACCCTTGACAAACAGCGACAGACAGACAGACAGGCAGACATCCATCCATCCCTCCTTACGGAAGAAGCCCGCGCCCGCGCCCGCTCTCAAGAGTCAGAAAGTCGAATCGACATGCCGTGCGATGTGCAACAAAAACCAACCCTTTTCTTTTGGCTTTTTAGCCGAGAGAACTGACCTGACAAACCCCCCCC